ATTTATAATGATCTAAATACTTATGGTGGAATCAGTTTTCTTATGGTTGTTTACATTTTAGAACATTATATCGCTATTATAGAAAGACGTGTTACTTTTGTGGAACTAATATAGTGCTATGTTTATGTTTTTATGAAATTAAAGTGTTATATATATATTTTTATTATTTAATTATGTGAATCTGTGGTCTTAAACCGATCCAATCTGTTTTAAATAGATTGGTTCGGATTAGTTCCACAATTTAAATGGATTAGATTGGTTCCAATTTTTCAGGAACCATAGATAACGGATTGGTCCTAATTTTATGTAAATCTGTTTCAATCCAGACCATACTCACCTCTAATTTCTTTTATAAAATGTAGGCCTACAGGCACTTTTTTTTAGATGTAATTCATATTGCATTCAATTTGTATACGAATGATATGACTTTTAATCATTTAGGGATGTGATGTGTATTTGCTTTTGTCATGTTATTAATGAAATTGGAGTATATTAATGAATGCGGTAATGTTATCTGAATAATAAAAATGTAAGGTATTATATTGTCTTTTAATAAGCTATTTTACCCTCTTTCCAAGCACCCCTATAATAGTACATGTTGATAATTATGTATAAATAGTTTTTAATCCAATCAGCATTAAGTAAAAATTCTTTTACTTAAACTTTTAATCTATATTTTAAGAATTACTTAAATTTTTAAGTGATATGAATTACGGTTATGAAATAAATTTAATTGATTTTTAATTAACACATTCAATAAAAGTGTTGGATTGAGTTATCAAACACCACTTTAATCTTATTTCAGAAAAAGTCTCATCACTTTGTTTGGCTGTAAAAAAGAAAGTTTATTAACTAAAAATATTATTTTGCTAAAAAACCATAGTTTAGTTGGCAAACTCATTTTTTGTGAAAAAAAATCCACTCTAACTACTTTAAAAAAAATATTTAATAAGTCAAAAGTTAAGAATTTGTCATACAAACTATTTTTTCTAATATTAACTTTTTTATAAGCTTATTTTTAATAAACTAGTTTTTAGCTAACTCTAAAAAAAAAGTTTACATTAGTTTAATGGATCTCATATCTTGTTTTTGTTACCAATACAAGTAACATATAACATGGTAAACAAAATATGATTATCATGACATTATTATTTGTACACAACTCACTACTACTGTTCTTCCTTTAAGTGTTTTCACTATGATCATGTTTTGTATAATTTATGCTTAAATCTTTGTTTTTATTATTTTAGAAATTTGTGAGTGTCGTAGGTGTAAATTTTGGTTATATATATTACAAAACAAAAATAATTTTAAAAAATTAATTATGGAAAAATTAAGAAAAAAAAACTTATAACTTTTATTTTTAAACTTCGAATCCACTTCTAAACCATGTCTGAATTGTTGGAATGACTCCTTTTGGGGGTAGCTTCCTTCCTGTCCAAAGGACTGGAGGGTACAATTCAATCCGTTATGGGCTTGTTTCGAGTTTATTTCATCAATTTGAGTTGTTTAATTTTTAGATTTGTTCACGTAGATCATTCATAAAAAAAAAAATTTGGATTAATCGAATATTAGTATTCATATATTTGAGTCATATTTATCTTTAAAAAAATAATGACATATACAATTTCAAAAGTAAATCGTCTATTTTTTTTTTTTTTTATGACAAATGTGATCCAAATATGTAACTATTGATATTTGATCAATCTAATTTTTTACATAAATAATCTACCAAAAATGTACTAAAAATTAAACGATTCAAATCAATGAACCCACCATAGATGATACCAATATATACATATATACACACACATTGCGTTAAACAATTTTACAATTAATTAGGAGGCTTTAGAGTGAGTAATGAATCTTTCAGGTCTTATCATATGATAGAGAAGAGTCTTTAAGAAAAAGAACATGAGCGATTTTGGACAAATGATCTAACATGACCAGAAGAATTGTGTAAAATAAGTGAATTTATCCAGTTGAGATATTCTTGATTGAGAAAGAATGATTCCCTCCAGAGAGCTTAACTACGTCAAGCCTGTATTGGCCTGGGATTTGGGGATTCTGTTGTGCTCAAAAGCACAGTAAGCTGCTGTGCTCCCTTGTGGAGCATCGTCTCGAGCCTTTTTCAATAATCTCATATTATAAGGTTTGTCAAGTAAATTATCCATGCAAAAAATCAAGTTGATTGGATATCTATAGCCCTCTAACAAAAGTACATGTATTTTTATAAAAATAAACGGTTAACATAACTTTTATAAATTTTTAAAAATAATTAGAACCTAATCATGGGGTTATAAAATATTCAATTAATTTAATTTTTTATATAAATAATATTCTTGACGAATCCTATAATATGAAGATTCATATTATCGAAAAACACTCGGAACGACCTTCCATAAAGGGACATAGCAGGTTGTCATGCCTTGAAGGCACAGTAGCACCCGTAGATCCTTGGGCATGTAGCCAACATTGGATGCTAGGCAAAAGTGTCTACGCCACCATGGTTGCTTTTGATTTCTTCTCTATTTTAGTCCTCAATCGATGTTATATATTGTTAGTAATGGGCGCCCATGTGGCATGACCATTTGAATTTGAATTTGAATCTTATCCAAATAGGTTTTGAAATTGAATTCAAACCTATTTAGGATAACCACTCTGGATACAGATATTATCTCCATTAACTAATATGGATAGATAATAATAACACATTATATATCTGGTATATGGGTTATGGGTGATTAAGAGAAAAACAACGTATGATCTGAGTTTTACCCATATACTGACTCTCTCCCAAAAAAAACAACGATTAAGTCATTTGCACTGTGATTTGTGTGGGTAATATTCATTCTGTAATATCACTTCACTGCTGGGTTGGTTTATCAGATTTTGAAAGCACGTGATTTACCCACAAGGTTCTATCATCTAAAGGTATGATCTATATATTTTTTCCGCTGCATTCTTTATACTTTGATTTACATTGGTATCAGAGCCATAAATATGGGTATTTTCGTGCTTATTTTTATGCATTAAAATATGTGTATATTTTTTATATAAATATATATACATGATATATGCATGAATATTAATGGAGGAGGAAGATGAAGTGCACGGTTTTTTTTTGCATTTTAACTCCATTAGATTGAGAGAGTGATATACCTCATTTTTATGTTGTTTAAATGTCATTTTTAATGCCATAAATGTTTTTATTGTGAAAAATATCTGAGTTTTACCCATATACTGACTCTCTCCCAAAAACAACGATCAAGTCTTTTGCACTGTGATTTGTGTGGGTGATATTCATTCTGTAATATCGCTTCACTGCTGGGTTGGTTTATCAGATTCTGGAAGCACGTGATTTACTCACGAGGTTCTATCATCTAAAGGTATGATCTAAATATTTTATCCGCTGCATTTTTTATACTTTGATTTACATTGGTATTAGAGCCATAAATATGGGTATTTTAATGCATAAAAATAAGCACAAAAATACCCATATTTATGGCTCTGATACCAATGTAAATCAAAGTATAAAAAATGCAGCGGATAAAATACTTAGATCATACCTTTAGATGATAGAACCTCGTGAGTAAATCACGTGCTTCCAGAATCTGATAAACCAACCCAGCAGTGAAGTGATATTACAGAATGAATATCACCCACACAAATCACAGTGCAAATGACTTGATCGTTGTTTTTTTTTTTTGGAGAGAGTCAGTATATGGGTAAAACTCGGATCATACGTTGTTTCTGTCTCTTTCACCCATAACCCATATACCAGATATATAATATGTTATTATTGTCTATCCATATCAGTTAATGGAGATAATATCTGTATCCTGAGTGTTTATCCTAAATAGGTTTGAATTCAATTTCAAAACCTATTTGGATAAGATTCAAATTGTTCTATTATCTAAAGGTATGATCTAAATATTTTATCCGCTGCATTTTTTATACTTTGATTTAAATATTATGGTCATACCTTTCAATCAGAGCCTGAATTGAAGGACCTCGTGGATAAATCACGTGCTTCCTGAATCTAGTCAATCAACCCAGCAGTGGGGTGATATTACAATAGTGAATATCACCTACACAAACCATAGTGCAAATGACTTGATCGTTGTTTTTGGGAGAGAGTCAGTATATGGGTAAAACTCAGATCATACGTTGTTTCTCTCTTAATCACCCATAACCCATATACCAGATATATAATGTGTTATTATTATCTATCCATATCAGTTAATGGAGATAATATCTGTATCCTGAGTGGTTATCCTAAATAGGTTTGAATTCAATTTCAAAACCTATTTGGATAAGATTTAAATTCAAATTCAAATGGTCATGCCACATGGGCGCCCATTACTAACATCATGATTCAGCCTTAAGGGACATTACTGGGAAGCAGTCAATCCTAAACTAAATGGCATGAGGGCAAAGGGAAGATCATCTAGTATTACACCACCGTTGTATATTCACTGTCGGCAACTCACATCGCTCTGTATGAAAAGCGAATTGAGTGTGAATATATTGCAAGAATTGAGAGGGTCAAACATGCTCTTTTTGAGGGATTAGAGATGTTTTTTGGACCGGTGTAATTAGATGGGTCTGGGGTATATGAGACACTATTTCTATTCTTTTTGGGTTGATGTCTCTATGCTGGCTCATTTTGAGTTTCTAGTATAGAGCTCCCACATGCAGGTGTTCTCAGCAGTCGCACGGTGCAGTGGCTAGTATGAGATTGTTTATTTTTTGGGAGATTGAGATAGAGATGTGGCAGTGTCATGCCAACTCATGTGCGAGTGGGAGATGTTAGTAATGGGCGCCCATGTGGCATGACCATTTGTATTTGAATTTGAACCTTATCCAAATAGGTTTTGAAATTGAATTCAAATAACTCAAAGAAATAGTAATAAAAATTGACTTCTCAACAGCGTGGACTCTCTCTCTCTCCCCCTCTCTTCTCTCTCTCTCCCCTCTCTCTCTTTATCTATCTAGGGATGCCACCAAACGGTGACAAGACTGATTGGATGATGCATGAGTTTACATTAAATGCACATTCCAGAGAGCGAAAAAGTGCAAATGATATGAGGTTGGATGATTGGGTTTTATGCAGGGTTTATAAGAAACCTAAGAATTCGAACAAAGTCAAACAACTAGATCAGTCCGAGCTAGATAATTATCCTGTTGCAGCAACATTGTCAGAAGAAAAGACTCCATGTGTTAATAATAACAACAATGTCGCAGAAATGAATTTGGATTATAATAGCATGGGATATTCAAGTCAATTTATTAACACATGCAGTGACTTCTGTCAATCCCCTTCGCTAGATGAACTCATAATGCCTGATTTCACAGATTCTTATGCTTGCCTCCCAGAACTCAAAATGCCTGATTTCACAGATTCTTATGCTTGCCTCCCAGAACACAAAATGCCTGATTTCACAGATGCTTACGCTTGCCTCCCTGACATTGAATTACCTTTCGAAAAATGTTAGTAATGGACACCCATGTGGCATGACCATTTGAATTTGAATTTAAATCTTATCCAAATAGGTTTTGAAATTGAATTCAAACCTATTTAGGATAATCACTCAGGATACAGATATTATCTCCATTAACTGATATGGATAGATAATAATAACATATTATATATCTGGTATATGGGTTATGGGTGATTTAGAGAGAAACAACGTATGATCTGAGTTTTACCCATATACTGACTCTCTCCCAAAAACAACGATCAAGTCATTTGCACTGTGATTTGTGTGGGTGATATTCATTCTGTAATATCACTTCATTGCTGGGTTGGTTCATCTAAAGATTCTGGAAGCACGTGATTTATCCACCAGGTTCTATCATCTAAAGGTAAGATTTAAATATTTTATCCGCTGCATTTTTATACTTTGATTTACATTTCACGTGCTTCTGAGTTTTACCCATATACTGACTCTCTTCCAAAAAAACAACGATCAAGTCATTTGCACTGTGATTTGTGTGGGTGATATTCATTCTGTAATATCACTTCACTGCTGGGTTGGTTTATCAGATTCTGAAAGCACGTGATTTACCCATAAGGTTCTATCATCTAAAGGTATGATCTATATATTTTTTCCGCTGCATTCTTTATACTTTGATTTACATATATGATTTTTGCTTTCTCTCTCCCCTTCTTCCATTCTCCATCATGGTTTTTATTTTAGCACACCCCTAACTCTTCCCTTCAAAACGCAATATCTTTAATTCCAACTCTAAACACCTTGTTCTCTCCTCTTTGCAAAATTCCCTCCCCTAACTAAACACTCTTCCCACCTCAAACTTCTCTATACCCCATTAATAAACTCCCTAACCCCCAAACCCTTTTTTTTTATCACCCTTTTTCAATTTTGGTCAAAAAGTGCTATTTCATCTCCGACATTCAATTTTCTTATAGGTCGAGAGCAGGTGCAACACTAGGTTGGTATAAGGGTATTCACTTGAATACTTTCTTTTTTTTTAACTTACTACACATTTATATGTTGATTTGCCATTTGTAGAATCTTGAAATAATTTATTTGACCAATTTGGATTAATTTGATTGTTATTTGTCACTCATAAAACTTTTCTATATACTTTTAACTACTTTGACTCTCACCCATAACATTTATTTTAAACACTTTCATTGTTAATCTGAGCTCAATCCACTAAATTTTGAACATATAGATTAGGAGAGAGACCTAAGAAAGATTTCTATTTGCTCTTGTTCGAACTTCTTAAGTTCGCCTATCGTCAAATCGAAGTGCGCTAGTCTTAGTGACAACCCAAATTGGTGTTTGGAGTGGTTGTTTTGTTTTGATTCAAAGTAGTGATAGGTGCATTTCAAGCATATATAAATTTTATCATCTTTATTAAATTTTTATTTTCATTAAAACATAAAGAATATTTAATTTTTTTTTTTACCAAAGACTAAAAATTGATTAAAAAATGATTCTTTCAAACAATAATAAATGTCTAATGTGATTAAAAAATAATAATAATAATAATTGAAACCTGTCAGTATCTTTGATTTGAATTATAGTAGTGTGGTTTAAGAATTATAGTGATGCAATACGCATATTTAATTTTATTCCTAAAAGATAGAATATTAAATTTGTGCAAAAAACAAATGTATGCCATTCTCCATGAAACTGATTATACTTTAATCAAGTAATTAAATATTTAGATAAATTAGCAAGGAAGTGTATATTACACCAACCTTATAAATAAAGGAAACCACATTGACTATGAACAGTGTAATACACCAAACGTAAATGTCACGTCAACAATAAGTGATTGTACATTATAAAGTATGACATAAAAAAATATTATATTTTTAATTAAGTTTTGTATCATAATAAAAATTCCATACATATTCCAAAGGGTTAAACATCATGGTCGGACAATATTTAATTGTATGAATGGCTTACTAAACTAGAGAATATTTGTCCAAATAAGACTAACAAAAGTGACTAGGCAAGAGTATGTTGAATGCATTTTTTATGTGTCACGCTAATAACAACTCATTAGGCTGTCCATAAGAGAATGAAAATGTCAAAAAAATTATAATAATCTTTACACTTTTCAAATATATATATATATTAGTGTATGTCCATGCCTAAAGGCACGGTGTAAATAATATTGAGATCAAAATATATTTGTAATTTATATACGTATCATGTTAAAACATGTGGAGTCTGTAACATTTTTTCTTCTTAAAGAACTTTTAATAATTTTGTTTGTACCATACCCTCTACAGAATTCGATTAAAAATAACAACTCTCCCTAGTCTTAATGCAAATTAAGGAATAAACATATAAAATTTATAATGTTTATTAAAATTAAAATGGTAAACTAATGTTCTGCAATTATAATAAAATAAAATTAACCAAACAATGCATACCAGCTAATATTCTACAATTCTAAAAAATTAAAATTGGATACCAAACAATGCATGCCAGTGCTCTGCAATTCTAAAATAATTTAATTAAAACAAAACAACAAACAATGCACACCAACCAATCATCTATAATTTAAGACCAAACAACAAACAACAAACAATGCACACCAGTGCTTTCCAAATATGAACGTAAGTTCAAATAGTTTTGTGGGGTGTATTCATTCTGAAGCCCAACCTCCACCAAAGCCTTGTAAATGGTCTCATACATCCTTTGCATTGTTTTGTTCTGCACAATAAATGAGAGATAATTTCAAAATCAAAAATTGATCCTTCTGAAGTTTATACATTGATGGGCAGATTAATAGAATTTTTTGATTTTCCATTGGAAATAAATTAATCCAACGAAAAAAAAAGCAACAAAGTTATCCATCTCTGAAGCTGCCTTTAAAATGAGAAGTACAAAGCTATGCGTTGAAGTCATAATTGGTTCCTACCTGCCAAAATAAAATCCTTTGTGTAGCAGCACCTGTTGGATTGCCTTCTGGCCACATCGGAATAACAATATAAGCGGCAAACCTCTCACGTGCTCTGATTTTCTCAGCAATTTTAAGTGCAATTTCCATGGGAATCAAATTGTTCGCACCTATAGCAAGAAAATATGCTTACAATCAGTATTTAGTAAAGGAATTTCAAGCATAAAAGCTTAGGAAAGCATTTATTTATTGTCATATCAAATGCCACTTTACTCTCAACTAAAACACGATGTAGCAAATCAAAAGAACTACCTAATCCTATTAAACCGTCTACCGTAAGTAAAGACACAGAAAAAATCCTCAACCTGTCTCCTTGTTTGCTATAACCAAGCAAGTTTCACTACCATCACATTGAAAGCTTATGTTGTTAGAGAAAGGAGTAACTTCATCAAGATGTATGGGTAACTTCATTATTTGTATCCTTAACACTCCCACTCACATGTGACCTGTAACGTCCTCAAAATAATACAGAAATCCAACATCTAACAGTTCTATATAAATGAAAGATAGGTCACTTTTCCATACATACATCAAAGTTAATATTACAAAAGAGTATTTCATATAAGTGAAAAAAGTTTACAACAATAACAAAATGCCCTGCGGGCTTACATCTTTCGAAGTTGCTACTTGGTTACACATAAGAAGAGTTTTAACTCTTTTACCAGTAAAGCCCTCGGCTTGCATTTACATGTAATCAATAAAACAAATAGCAAAGTAGTTCAACTCCGAAAACTTCCTAAGCAAAGATCTTGAACTTGGCACGTCTCCTGTACCTGAAAATGGTGTCCCAAGAAGGGTGAGCCAAAGCCCAATAGAGATAAACTAAACCCAATATGAGAAATAACTAAAACATTATCATTTGACAAAAGACTAACACGTGCAGACCAATTCATACCCTTCTCATCTCCTGACAATAAATACATCCATGCCACCATCCACTTCCCTTATTTATCCAATTCAATTCCTCAATATGGTTCATTATCTAACCAAACAATTTAGGTGAGACTACAGCTCGACTCATTAATACTTCCGCTATCCATGATTCAAAATGAGACTACATCTCATGTAATTAATACTCCAATTAACAATTCTATTCATGCACTTTAATTTATAAGGTTTCGGGACTTTCACCCTGGACATTCTAGCCAGCTTAGTTATCTATGGAGTCCATCCCTCATCATTCCCCAATCAAGGATACATACATAATGTATTTAAGCATATAACCACATATGGAGTACATTCCTCATCTCCTCCCAAACCAAGGTACACAAATAATGTGTTAAAATATATGAACACATATGGAGTACATCCCCTATTTCCTCCCAAACAAAGATATATAAATAATGTGTTAAAGTATATGAACACATATGGAGTACATCCCCTATCTCCTTCCAAACCAAGGTACACAAACAATGTGTTAAAATATATGAACACATATGGAGTACATCCCCTATCTCCTCCCAAACAAAGATATATAAATAATGTGTTAAAGTATATGAACACATATGGAGTACATCCCATATCTCCTCCCAAACAAAGATACATAAATAATGTGTTAAAGTATATGAACACATACGTGTGTGGAGTGCATCCCCTATCTCCTACAACACACTGGAGTACATCCCCTATCTCATCCCTAACAAATATATATATATATAATGTATTTCAGCACTTCATCACATACAATAATCAATCAATACACATATTTGTTGTATTAATCTGACTGTCATATTCAATGACATAACACGTTCGACTAGTTTCAGTTTTCCCTAATCAACATGCAGTGTCTACAACAATCAAGACTATCCTCCACCGATAGCCCAAAGCAGTTATCTCTAAACAGATAGTAAATTTATCAACCTATAAAATATTGACATTTTCATGGGTGAGTGATTAAATTATCCAACTACACCCTTCAATCTCATAATTTTCCCAATTTCATGGATATCAACTCAAGTTCATATTTCCACATTTTCCCCAAATTAATTATACAAATTAATTTATTTCAAAAATTAGAGCATTTTCTCTTTTTCTCAAATATTGGTCCTAA